AGGAGGAGGAGGAGGAGGAGGAGGAGGAAGAAGGTGAAAGAGGGAGAAGTATAAAAGGCCGCGAAGGAGTCTCATATAAAGAGAGGGAAGAATGGTGAAGGCCCCGAGAGATATATCGGCCGTAGTGCGCTATGGGGAGCCTTGTTCGCACAGCAGGGTACCCCCTGGGCCCCTCCCAGACTTTACATTTATTTACAAATATTTTGGCGGAGTTGAAGAGATAGAGGGTATGATGGAGTGAGAAAGAGTGCGCGCGGTTGGCCAAAGCCGAGAATGTCGGGTCTTATGAAAATCCATTTCGAGTAAAAAATGGCCCGGCTCGTAATACATTAGGGACAAGGAGCGTTACGCGAAGGTGGGAGGAAAAGGAGAGGAGGGGAAGAGGGGCAGAAAAGATCTGCGACGGAAATCAAAAAAAGTTTAACCGAGTGCTTATACTCCGCGCGCGCGCTGAACGTCCCGAAAACGACTGTTCGTGTGAAACGCAAAAGGGAGGCCGCGGCTTTAGTTCACAGAAAGGACCTTAATAGAATTGGGCCAATTCCAATTTCCAGTGAGAGGTGTGAGGATGAAAGTTTCCTGGAAATCGTTTGAAGAGGAGCATCGTCATTCGGAATATCGCTCGGCCACTTATTATAATGATTTTCGATCTAATCGAAGAAAAAAGAAAGAGAGCAACGATATCAATGTAGCAAATTCTGCTTTTGTTGCGTAGGATGATTATACGTCACGCAAACGGGGCTCACAAATGTGTGTAAAAGTTTTACCGATATTTTCTGTACTTAAGAGGAGCTAAGTTAGATCCAATTAATTCTCAACAAGCACGAATGAGAGAGGGGCTCACACGCACACAGGCATAGACACGCGTGACGTTACGAATAGGGTTGCCAGTAGCCGAGAAACCAGTCAGGTTGATGGAAGATGACGAGTCGCGTTGTGTGAAGGATGCTCTCTCCACATTCTGCCCCGATGTTATTTTATCTCTCCTTCATCATCTCGGCCCCGATGGCCGCTAATTACGAAGCGCATGTCACTTACACCTCGTTTACATATTTCGTATCTTATCGCTTAAACATGCGGGTAAAACCCGTGTTATCTCGCGCGCCCGCGATTTTATTCGCGTGCGTGTGTAATCCCGCGGTATGTAATCAATGTAGCAACATTAAAACGATATTAATTTCCCTGTTTGGCATGGTACTAATTGCCCCCGCCGTGCATGTTACGGCTCGTTAAATCGCAGATAACGTCCGCGAAATTGTCGAGCCATCGCCGAGAACAAAGGAGTGGGACGTCGAGACAAACGACGTCAGAGTGTAGCCGAACAGTTGGAGACGCTGGATGAGGGTGTGGAGGTCAAGGAGCAGAAAGGAAGATGCGGAGGAGGAGGAGGAGGAGGAGGAGGAGGAGGAGGAGGAGGATAGAGAAAGATGAAGAGGAAAAGCACGTTAAAGTAGAAGAAACAGCGGGAGCAAAGGAACCCGAAGACGGGCCATGTACTGCTGCCACGAAAGGGGGTTGGGTCCGAGAGATGAAGGAAGATGGTGTGCGAAGCAGGACTGGGCTCCATACCAGCATCCGCAGACGGAGCCCCGCCCCCACTGGTTTCTTCTCCGTTTCTTCTCCACCTCCGAGCCCGCTTCGGCTTTACCTTCCCGCGGCCAGGCCAACCTTTTATTCCAATCTTCTTGTTTTAACGTGCTCGTTGCTTTACCCCCTCCTCTCTCGCGATCCACCACCCTCCATCTCCTTCCCGGCGTTCCCGCTGCTGTCCGCATGCCAGCCGCATTCGAGGGCCCCCGAGAGTGGGTCCCCGATGTTCCATTCACCGCGCAACAAAACGAACCGCCCAGGCATCAGCTGATCTTCCAGAAAGCCACTTCCGCCTTCAGCGGTAACCTCCGGGTGAGGTACACCCACACTCTCGGCATCGTGTCCGCCGTGTCCGCACTTTTATCAATTTCGCTGATCGTCGAGGATTTAAATTCTCAGACAGTGAGAGGAGTCCGCGGCGCGCGCAGACAGTTTGAAATCCTTTTACGGACTTTTAAGATCGCCGAGGCTACCATTTCTCGTTTCCAGCGGGCGTTTATCGAGACTCTTGCTGCCCACTTTCTCTTCTTC